CACTCAGACCAACTCGCCATCAGACCCACCCACCTTCGGACGCACTTAAACTCAGACAACGTCGCACCCAGGCTTCATCCTACGCGTGTTTACAGTCATCACGCTCAAACGCAGACTCACCCGCACAAAAACTCACTCACCCGCAGGCCCACTCGCACTGTGACTCGATCGCGTCCAGACGAACTCAATCCCATACGCACTTATACCCATATCAATTCACACTCAAACTCACGGACACTCAGACTCGCCCACCCTCTGACTCATCTACAATCAGACTACCTCGCGCCCAGGCCCACTCACACTTATACTCGCTCGCAGTTATACTCGCTCGCACTCAGATTCGCTCGTACCCAGACCCACTCGTACTCCGATTTGCTATATCCAGACTCATTCACGCGCTTGCCGGAGCTGCCACGGTAAAAAGGGCAAGAATAACTTTTTTTTTTGTCTCTCTCTCTCTCTGTTCCACCGGTAATGTCCTCGTCTCTCCTGGAAGGTGCTCAGAGGAGGAGGACGTCACTGAAATCATTGCTGTCCACGTCGTCGTTGCCGCACCTGTCGTCTACGCAAACTCACTCTCACACCCAGGTGCTAATAGACAGAGTTCCCCAGCGAGACGTGACAGGAGTATGAGATGCATATATGGTTGACCCTGCTGAGCCGTATTGGAGCTCTCGTCGGCTGGCTGCTTCGATAGAATCCTTCCGAAAACCCTTCTGTAGGAGTCTTGGGGGCCTCTGGGGCTTCCTGGGGCTCCTCCTGAGCTGCCTGAGGCCTTCTTGGGGCCCTCTTGGGCGCCTTAGGGCCATAGGTGGGCGAGCCTGGGGGCCTCTCGGGACGCCCAGGAGGCTATGACGACCAATAGGGCCGAGTGCGCCGAAATCGTACCCACAAAAAGGAACGATGCGTTCCTCTTTGGGGCCTACTGGGGGTCCTCGTCTGGCCGCATGGGGCCGTCGAAGCACCCTGCTGATCCGTTCGGCGGCCATCTTGGGCTGCCTCTGGCTCTTCCTGGCCGTCGTTGGCGTTTCTTCGGGATATCTCGAAGCCTTCGTCGGACGTCGTGGGCCCTCCGGGGACGCCCTGGAACCAGCCTCCCCTTCTTGCGTAAACCGTGGCGGATCCGATTTTTTCGAAGCTGGTTGAATATTGGCACGGTACATGTGGAGAGACAGCGAGAGAGCGATATATATATATAGAGAGAGAGAGAGAGAGAGAAAGAGCAAAACAAAAAAGGAAACAACCAAGAAAGAAGCGAGAAAGAGTAGAGAGAGGTAGAGAGAAAGAGGGAGAGAGAGAGAGAGAAAGCGACAAAAGCATAAAAACAGCCAGACAGACTGACTGACAGACAGACAGGCTGGCAGGCAAACAGACAAACAAATATTGAGAAGGCGCAAGATCAGGTCGAGACGGGTTTGTGCCATTGGGTCCTGTAAAGCCGGAGGCCCACATCGCCTGCACAGCTTTGATATGAGGTCAGCCACGTGGGTGTAATCAAGAGACCATTCTCACATCCACCAAACAATCGGCCCCTTCTACTCTCCCTTCTCTCCTCTTTTTTTCCAACCATCCTGTGGTGTTGGGTCCTCGTTTTGAAGAGACGGTGGCCCGCGTCTCCTCTCCTCCTCCTCTCCTCTCCTCCTGCTCTCCTCCTCCTCCTCCTCCTCCTCCTCCTCCTCCTCCTCCTCCTCCTCCTCCTCCTCCTCCTCCTCCTCCTCCTCCTCCTCCTCTCACCATCATCATCGTCATCACCCATATCGGCACACCCCTCACACGCTTCGTGGCCCCATAGGGAGCTCCACCGAAGGTCCCAGTGGGTGTGCCCGCATGCGTCCCGCACACCCATTTCGGCACACCACTGACACGCTTCGTGGCCCCATAGGGGGCTCCACCAAAGGTCCCAGTGGGTGTGCCCGCATGCGTCCCGCACACACATTTCGGCACACCCCTCACACGCTTCGTGGCCCCATAGGGAGTCCCACCGAAGGTCCCAGTGGGTGTGCCCGCATGCGTCCCGCACACCCATTTCGGCACACCCTTCACACGTTTCGTTGCCCCATAGGGAGCTCCACCGAAGGTCTCAGTGGGTGTGCCCGCATGCGTCCCATATTTCGGCACACCCCTCACACGTTTCGTGGCCCCATAGGGAGCTCCACCGAAGGTCTCAGTGGGTGTGCCCGCATGCGTCCCGCACACCGATTTCGGCACACCCCTCACAAGTTTCGTGGCCCCATAAGGAGCTCCACCGAAGGTCCCAGTGGGTGTGCCCGCATGCGTCCCGCACACCCATTTCGGCACACCCCTCACACGTTTCGTGGCCCCATAGGGAGCTTCACCGAAGGTCTTCCAGTTGGGTGCGCCCGCATTGCGTCCCGCACACCCATGTCGGCACACCCCTCACACGCTTTCGTGGCCCCATCGGGGTGCCACCGAAGGTCTCAATGGTGTGCCCGCATGCGTCCCGCACACCCATTTCGCCCACCCCTCACACGTTTCGTGGCCACAGAGGAGCTCCAACCGAGGGTCCCAGTGGGTGTTGCCCGCATTGCGGTCCCGCACAACCCATTTTGGCAGGAACACCCCTCACACGTTTCGTGGCCCCATAGGGAGCTCCACCGAAGGCCCCAGTGGCTGCGTTCGCATGCCTCCCCACCACCCATTTCGGCACACCCCTCACACGTTTCGTGGCCCCATAAGGGAGCTCCACCGAAGGCCCCATGGCTGCCGTCCGCATGCGTCCCGCACACCCATTTCGGCACACCCCTCACACGTTTCGTGGCCCCACAGGGAGCTCCACCGAAGGCCCCAGTGCTGCCGTCCGCATGCGTCCCGCACACCCATTTCGGCACACCCCTCACACGTTTCGTGGCCCCATAGGGAGCTCCACCGAAGGCCCCATGGCTGCCGTCCGCATGCGTCCCGCACACCAATTTCGGCACACCCCTCACACGTTTCGTGGCCCCATAGGGAGCTCCACCGAAGGTCCCAGTGGGTGTGCCCGCATGCGTCCCGCACACACATTTCGGCACATCCCTCACACGTTCCGCGGCCCTATAAGGCCCAACCGAAGGTCCCAGTGGGTGTGCCCGCATGCGTCCCGCACACCCATTTCGGCACATCCCTCACACGTTTCGTGGCCCCATAAGGATCTCCACCGAAGGTCCCAGTGGGTGTGCCCGCATGCGTCCCGCACACCCATTTCGGCACACCCCTCACACGTTTCGTGGCCCCATAGGGAGCTCCACCGAAGGTCCCAGTGGGTGTGCCCGCATGCGTCCCGCACACCCATTTCGGCACACCCCTCACACGTTTCGTGGCCCCATCCACCGAAGGTCCCAGTGGGTGTGCCCGCATGCGTCCCGCACACCCATTTCGGCACACCCCTCACACGTTTCGTGGCCCCATAGGAGCTCCACCGAAGGTCCAGTGGGTGTGCCCGCATGCGTCCCGTCGGCACACCGTTGTCGTCGCCCCATAGGGAGCTCCACCGAAGGTCTCAGTGGGTGTGTGCGCATGCGTCCCGCGCACCCATGTCGGCCCACCCCTCACACGTTTCGTGGCCCCATAGGGAGCTCCACCGAAGGTCCTTGTGGGTGTGCAATTTCGGCACACCCCTCACACGCTTCGTGGCCCCATAGGAGCTCCGCCGAAGGTCCCAGTGGCACAGTCCGCATGCGCCCCCGCCATTCATTTCGGCCCACCCCTCACACGCTTCCTGGCCCCATAAGGGCTCCGCCGAAGGCTCCAGTGGCACAGTCCGCATGCATTCCCGCCACGCACTTCGGCACACCCCTCACACGTTTCGTGGCCCCACAGGAGTTCCGCCGAAAGTCCCATTGGCACAGTCCGCATGCGTCCCCGCCGCTCATTTAGGCACACCCCTCACACGTTTCGTGGGCCCATAGGAGCTCCGCCGAAGGTCCCGGTGGCACAGTCCGCATGCGTCTCCGCCATTCATGTCGGCCCACCCTGACACGTTTCATGGCGCCATAGGAGCTCCGCCGAATGTCCCGGTGGCACAGTCCGCACGCGCCCCCGCCATTCATGTCAGCACACCCCTCACACGCTTCGTGGTCCCATAGGAGCTCCGCCGAAGGTCCCCGTGGCACAGTCCGCATGCGCCCCCGCCATTCATGTCAGCACACCCCTCACACGTTTCGTGGCCCCACAGGAGCTCCGCCGAAGGTCCCCGTGGCACAGTCCGCATGCGCTCCTGCCACGCATTTCGGCACACCCCTCACACGTTTCGTGGCCCCCTAGGAACTCCACCGACGGTCCCCGTGGCGCAGTCCGCACGCGTCCCCGCCATTCATGTCGGCACACCCCCCCTCATACGCTTCGTGGCCCCACGGGAGCTCCGCCGAAGGTCCCAGTGGCACAGTCCGCATGCGTCCCCGCCGTTCATTTCGGCACACCCCTCACACGCTTCGTGGCCCCATAGGGAACTCCACCGAAGGTCCCCGTGGCGCAGTCCGCATGCGTCTCCCTTGCCCAGTACAGCGTTACGTTGCCCCATATGGAGCCCCACCGCAGGTCCCAGCCAGCCAGCTAGCTCTCTTTGCTCCGCGCAGCGGGCGACCCGCGCGCGTCGCTGGGACCCCTCCGGGGCGACCTGCGCGCGTCGCGGGGGTTCCGTGCTGCGTTCTGCCCAGCGCCTCGCTCGCCCGTCGTCGCTCTGCCCAGCGGCAAGAGCCTTGCCCGCTATCAGCCAACCTGCTAGCTCTCTTTGCTCCGCGCAGTGGACGACCCGCGCGCGTCGCTGGGACCCCTCCGGGGCGACCTGCGCGCGTCGCGGGGACTCCGCGCTGCGCTGCGCCCGCAGTCTTGGACTTTTGAGTGCGCGGATCTAGAAGGAGTAAAGGAAGGGGAGGAAGCAGGCGCGATCCTCGCGGGGGGGCGCGCCGACATTGGCGTCGCGGCGCGCGGGCGATGCCGTCGGGGAGTCCCGGGGAAGCTCCTTGTGGCGGCCACGCCCAGCGTCACGAGTACTCAGAGGCAGTCATTGTCAAACTATTGACATTCATACACAATTGCACCACGCTTTGTCATATTCGCATTCATGCACGTAGACTCGCTCGCACGCAGAATCATTCACAGTCAGACGCACGCGCGCAGATTCACCCGCGCTCAGTCTCCCTACGTACTCAGATCAATTGTTTTCGTTCGCGTTGTGTACCACGCCACTCATGTCGGCACACCCCTAGCACGGTTCGATGCCGCATAAGGATCGCCACCGAAAAGTGAATCACTATTGCGGTACTCACAACTGCATATGGTTGGGTCCCTCGTCAAGCTAATTCGCTTCCGCCTCCTCATCCTCACCACCAATATCATAACACTCCTCCCGCTTCCGCTTTTCACCGCCTCCCGTGTCCCCCCTCCCTCCCCACAAGGAGGAGAGGTCAGGGGAGGAGAGGGGGGATTGGATTGGCGGTCGCAAGGAATGTCTCATACTACACGGAAGCCCAGGGGTAGATCACAACAAAAACACAAGATGGAGCCAATACGCCTGCGGTCAAAAGTTAGGCATGCATGCGGCATGCCGTCTGTGCCACCAGCGTTCCCAAAGTCGTCACAAATTCCAAGATGGCCCTCCGCGGCCGTGCAGAAGAACACACTGGCATCCCATTCGTGCCTCCATCGGCGTCTACCTGAAACTAGTGGCAACTGCGTAGCAGCGGAACCAGTAGTGTCATACAAGGAACAATGCCCAAATGATGACCTACTGCTGCCGCCATCTTGGTTGATATCATCCGTTCTTGAACTTTCCGGTTCCCTTGTCCTCCTATTCCCGAGACGGCTTGCAAAATCCCGCAGCACCCACCGAGCCTCCTGCTCCTGCCTATGCCTCCTCCTCCTCTTCCTGCTCCTCCTTTATTCAGTGGCCCCCCCATACCACGCCACATGACAGGAGGCAACGGCAGAGAGAGATATGCCACAACAGTAGCGCAACGAAGGAGGCAGAGCTAGGATGACGAGGAAAACCGTGACCGAGGAAGAGGGAGGAATCCTTCGGCTAACAAGAGAGTCGCGGCGGGGCGACCAGAACGCGAGACGGCGTCGCAGCGCGGGGCGGCCGGTCCGCAAGCTGTCGAATGACGGTTCCCCTGGCGCTCGCGGGTCTGACTCGTGCCGCCCCTCGCCGCCACTGCTGTGCTGCGTATCCTACAGCTGCTGCTCCTCCTCATCCTCCTCCCAATTATCCATCCTTTTCCTCGCCTCGCCCCTCGCCCGCCTTCCTCCATCTCGGCTCCTCTTCCTCTCTTCCCCCTTCCCTCCGCTGCAATCCCACCAGCCATCTGGGCTGAGGTGGTCTGACGCGCCTCCTCTTCCAACCCCGTCCTTCCCAGTCGGGATGGGGTTGATCACTGCTCCATTTTAATACGCATCCCCTCCCCCACTCTACCAGCCCCTAACCAGGGCCAATGCGGATACCCCCCAAAATCCCTGTCACAGAAACTGTGCGACACTCACTGTGCGGCAAAGTCTGGGTCATGTTCGGGCGCC